CAGGCGAGCAGATGGAGCTGGGAGGAGAGGCCACAGCAACGTTCATAGCTTCCAAGGCCAGCCACCTGGTGGGGGAAAGGCACCCTGTGGCCCCTAGGCCTCCTTCCTCTCCAACCTTCTTGCTTTCTCCAAGTCCTTCTTGGCACTTGAATCATCTCCTGTTTCTTGGTTCATTTACCCATTCCCTCCATGTACATCCCAGCAATAATGAAAATGAGGTCACTATCTTGACCAACACATTCTCAAAGGCAGCTGTGATTTGGGCCAATCCCAGGAAGCCCACAGAAGCCAGAAAGGTTAGGGTCCGTTGTGAGGTGGCTCTGGAGCAGGGTCGTCCCTGGCCTTCCGCATTGTCAGGGATGGGTGCTAGGTGATTTACCAGGACACCAGTGTCCTCTGCTGCTCCCCTGCTGTCCCTGAGCAGCCCCTCCCTCCCCCGCCAGTCTTGCTGGAATGAGTATCTGACAACTCGGATTGAGCAGAACCTTGTGTTGAATTGCACCTGCCCCATTGCTGACTGCCCCGCGCAGCCCACCGGAGCCTTCATCCGGGCCATTGTCTCCTCACCGGACGTCATCTCCAAGGTAGCCCCTCTTCTGTGGGAGGCTGTGCTGCACAGCCAGAGCGATGGGCCCCAGGGAGTGGACTGATGTGCATGGGGTGGGATGGGGAGGGGTGGTGGTTATGGATGTATGGCGTCCTGGAGAACCGGGCCCTCACCGGGTGGCGTCTGTGTCCCCACAGTACGAGAAGGCCCTCCTGCGCGGCTACGTGGAGAGCTGCTCCAACCTGACCTGGTGCACCAACCCCCAGGGCTGCGACCGCATCCTGTGCCGCCAGGGCCTGGGCTGTGGGACCACCTGCTCCAAGTGTGGCTGGGCCTCCTGCTTCAACTGTAGTTTCCCTGAGGTGGGTGCCTGCCTAGCCATGCCCCTGAGCACAGCCTGCACCCCTCCCCTGCCAGCACTCCTCTCCATCACACACACACACACACACACACACACACACACATACAATCACAGGCTACGCCTTGTCCTTACACTTTGCCACCAGCTCGAGTTCTGTTCCTCCCCCTGCAGGCCTCCACATGTGACCCCCTCCCTTGCACACCTGTGGCACCACCCTGGGCCCCGGGCTCAGGGCTCAGCCATGTCCTCCCTGCCCCCTCCTGCTCTAGGCACACTACCCCGCCAGCTGCAGCCACATGTCCCAGTGGGTCGACGACGGCGGGTACTATGACGGCATGAGCGTGGAGGCCCAGAGCAAGCACCTGGCCAAGCTCATCTCCAAGCGCTGTCCTAGCTGCCAGGCTCCCATCGAGAAGAACGAAGGGTGTCTGCAGTAAGAGGGGGTACTGCGGGCATTGAGGGGGGTCAGAGGGCATGGGACAAGGTGGGAGGCCTGGTGGTATGGGGGCAGGGGGCCCATGGGGCTCACCAGAGAGCTGAGCAGAGGACAGCAGTTACTCAGCCTGGTCCTGGTGCCCTCCAGTGACTCTTGCTCCTTAACACTCCTTCCCCTATTTTTAAGTCTGCACCGCATGGGGCTGGGAAGCTCGGGTGCACTCACTAGGGCTTGGTGAGGTTAGAGACTGTTAGGGCACAGAGGGGCCAGGGCGGGTTCGGTGGGGGCTCCAGGTTTCATCTGGGGGCTCCCGGTGTGGCCCTGACCCAGGGCAGAAGCCCTCTGACCAGCCTTCCTCCATAGCATGACCTGTGCCAAATGCAACCATGGATTTTGCTGGCGCTGCCTCAAGTCCTGGAAGCCAAATCACAAAGACTACTACAATTGCTCTGCCATGGTAAGGGGCTGAGGCCGGGGCCAGGGGCCCCAGCACAGCCAGGATGGGATGTGGCTGCAGGCCCTGGGCAGAGATGGCTCTGTGTCCTGGGCAGCCGAACAACTGTTGGGACGGAGGCTCTGTGTGAAGACCGAAGCCACCTGGGCCGACACGTGCTGGGAGTTCTGTCCTGGGAGGGCTGTGCATTCCCAGAGGCACCAGGCCAGAGCCAAGCAGAGCCCATGCCTCGCGTCAGAGCCCGGCACCCCTGCTTAGTAGGTGGCTTTGGGCTGGTTTCTGTGCCCACACCTTGGCATCCTCCCCTGCAGAGGGGGAGAATAATGTGACCTACTTCCCAGAGTTAGGATTAGATGGAAAGGTCTGGGTGAAGCGTCTGAAGGTCTGTATGCAGGGTGCCTTCGCCCCACCCTGCCCATCAAAGTGCCCAAGAGCCCTCCCTCTCAACCCATCCTTCCCAGGTTAGCAGAGCAGCTCGCCAGGAGAAGCGGTTTCAGGACTATAATGAGAGATGTACTTTCCATCACCAGGCCCGGGTGAGCAGGGAGGAAACAGTTGTGTGGGTGAGAAGGTCAGAGGGCTGGGGTGGAGGGCGGGGCAGGGGCTCCAGATCCCAATCGTGTGGGTGCTGAGTTGTTCTGAATGGGTGGGGAGGGCTGCCTGCGGCGCTGATCTACCTCACCCCTGCACAGGAGTTCGCCCTGAGCCTGCGGAACCGCATGTCTGCCATCCACGAGGTGCCACCCCCCAGATCCTTCACCTTCCTCAGTGACGCCTGCCGGGGATTGGAGCAGGCCCGCAAGGTGGTGGGACTGGGCGGGGGCGGGGTGGGAGGTGGGTGGGGGGGGGTGGGGTGGTGATGGGGCCAGGGGCTCTGGCGGGGAGGGAGGGAGGGGGGCGGGGAGGGAGGCAGTACTGAGGTTCAGCAAGGAAAGGGCTGACTTGGGCTCCCACAGGTGCTGGCCTATGCCTGCGTGTACAGCTTCTACAACCAGGACACGGAGCACATGGACGTGGTGGAGCAGCAGACCGAGAACCTGGAGCTGCATACCAATGCCCTGCAGATACTCCTCGGTGCGCCCGCACCCCACCATGACTCCTTCCCCACCCCCGCCTCCCACCCCCACCCCCAGCATCCCCTCCCAGCAAACAGTGGCAAAACAGCCCCCCAGCCCAGCTACCCCATTGGGCGGTCCTCCACCTCCTCATTCGTCCCAGCCTGATCACTACCAGCGATACTTCAGGTATGAAGGCATGGGGTGCTTGGCATGAGGTGCCTAAGGGCGCAGGCCTTCACCTGCCCACTAGATTACCATCTGCTTCCTGCCTCCCATCTTGTGGGGATGGAGGCCCCACAAGAATGAGTGTCTAGTCTAGAGCCCTGCCTGGTAGGTGCGGGTGGGACTTAGGTGGTCTAAGGAAGGAGTTGAAGGAAGCAAAGGAGGGAGGGAGCCCCTGTGGCTTGCCCCCTCTGCAGAGGAGACTCTGCTGCGGTGTGGAGACCTGGGCTCGTCCCTGCGCCTGCTGCGCTCCGACTGCCTCAGCACGGGCCTGGAGCTGCTCCGGAGGATCCAGGAGAGGCTGCTGGCTATCCTGCAGCATTCTGCCCAGGTGCGAGGCCAGCCTGGGGCCTCCTGGGCCCCGCACAGCCCCTGCCCTGGGGTGGGCGGGGATCCAAAAGGAAAGGCAGCTGTTTGGAGACCTGGGCACGCACCCAGCTCCTAGGCCTGCCCGCTGGATGCGGCTGCGGCTCCGTCCCGCCTGGCGAGTGCTACCCAATAGCCCACAGTAAGGGTATTTGCTGTGATGCTCTGCTCGCTCTTCAGAACCCCTGGGAACTTTTCAGTACTTCCCAAGTGGGATGTTGGAATGGGGATCCACTGAGGTTCTTCCTGGCTCTAATACATTGATGTTAGTCTAAACGAGGAGTCTTGCCCTTGGGGAGCTCACAGAGGAGTAAATAACTTGGGCAGACAGGACAGGAACAGACACTGTTAGGTCCTGAAGCACGGAGGTGGGGTGCCTCGCCGGCATGACCGGTGTCTTCAGAGACTGCCCAAGTTCTGTGACACACAGACTTGGGGCCATGAAGTCTCAGGATGTGGGAGGGAGAAGAGGTGGGAGCACCTGAGCGAGGGACCTGCACCTGGGAGGCTGGCAGAGAACGGTGGGTGAAGGAATGCTGGGCAGAGGTCCAGGTCCAGGTCCTCCTCCACTCTCTGACTTCCCACATCTCCCTGGCTCCTCACCAGGACTTCCGGGTCGGTCTGCAGAGCCCATCGTTAGAGGCCCAAGAGGCAAAAGGATCCAACGTGCCTGGCAGTCAGTGAGTAGGGTGGGCGGAGCGCCACAGGGGCCTGGGAGAGGTGTGGCTTCACAGGGCTGACTGTGGCTCCCTCCCTCCCCAGGCCTCAGGGGTCCCCAGGGCTGGAGGTGGATGAGGAGGAGGAGGACGACGATGATGAGGATGATGTCCCTGAGTGGCAGCAGGATGAGTTTGATGAGGAGCTGGACAACGACAGCTTTTCCTATGATGAAGAGTCTGAGAACCTGTACCGAGACACTTTCTTCTTCGGTGACGAAGAAGAGGATGATGCCTATGACTGAGGGGCAGGACATAGGGAACACCTGGAGCCACACCAGAGTCGTGGGGGCTGAGGGGTGAGGTCGCCCCTTCCTGCCATCGTTGGGGGAGGCGATTCCCAGTGTCTGTAATACCTTCTGTTTACTGAATAAACTTTTTTTCCACGTACTTCTCTGGAAGCAGGCTGTGCAGCTGCATCCCCAAAGGCTAGTGTCAGCTCCCCGCTCCCTCTACATACCCCCAACCCTCATTCTTCACTTTTCTTTTGGGCCTCCAGACGTTTGTGTTCTCAGGAAGGCCCAAAGCAGACCCATTTGACCTAAGCTGACAAGGGGAAATGAAAGTTTCCATGGTCCAGGGCCAGGTGTAGGCCTGCCCACTTGCTCCAGACCCCGTCCAGTGGCAGAGGAGGCCGAGAAACACCCCTCCCCACCCCACCCTGGGCCAGCCTTCCTCCAAACTCTTGAATGTTCCTCGCAGGAGTCTGAGGGCATTAGGAAGTACTCTCTCTTGGGGCCTACAGAATGTTAATGGATCTCTCTACATCTTGAAGTGAAGCAGGAAAGAAAAGGATAATCCTGAGGACCTGTCCTGCCCCATCACTCCTATAGACAGAGGTAGAATTTTAAACATAACTTTTAATTTGGTACTGGGGCTAAGAGGTAGGAGGGGTACGAGGGCAGAGAAGAATTAACAAAGTGGGGTTAAGTCAAGCAGCTGGGTCAGGGGAGGCAGCCACCTGCTAGAGAGGGTCACCCTCAAAGTAGCGATCCAGCATGGCCTCCACCTGGCCCTCCTCGTAGTCCAACACCTGGAACCTCAAGCCGTCTGCCGCTCCCCGGATCATGGCTGAAAGCACTGGGAAGGAAGGGCGGAGGGAGGTGAAGCTCCCCGTCTCCGCTCCCTTCCCTGTCCCTGTCCTGTTTCCAGGGTAGGCACTGTCCTCAGAGCCCTCCAGGGCTGGGTGTGCAGAAAGCTGGGGGGGAGGAGGGCCCACCCAGGGCTTGGAGCGCTCACCTCGGCCAGACTGCGGACGGAAGAGGCACAGGATCCGCTTGTTGAGGGCTACAGCCCGGCCCAGCTCGTAGCCCACACCCAATGACGGCTGGGTCACTTCGGCCACCACCACTGGGAAGAAACACGAGACTGGGGCTTGGTATCTGGGGCTTGTTAAGGGGTGGATGAGAGTCTGGGTGTGGTGAGGAGGGAACTCCCTTCCTGGTGTGGACCACAGGCCTGTCGAGACGACCTAACATCCCAGAGGAGTTTGTGGGCAGGAGGGGGAAGTGCTCACCATCTGCCTGCTGCAGCCAGGCTAGGTCCCGCTCATGGATGAGCCTGTCACCCCCAGCAGCCTCTTCTCCTGTGGAGGAGGAAAAGCTGGTCAAGGCCAAGTCCCTGCCTGCCTGGTCCTCAGCACTCAGTACCTCTCCTCTACCCTTGCAGCTCCCATATCTGCCCAGCGCAGGCAGGGTGGGGGGAAGGCATGTTAAGTGACCTCTGAGGACCCACCCAAAACTAAGGTTCCAGGGAAAGGATGAAATGGAATAGCCACAAGAAAACTTCCAGGAGGGATGTGATCAGGGTCGGATGAGGGATACGGAGGAGACTACGGGAAGGACTATACCTCACTGTGGGCCAGGGATCAGAGATGGAGAGGAGGAGGACTAGCCTCCTGGGGTGCAGGGTGGAAATGGCAGGCAGAAGCAAGAGACTGGCCGGGCAAACAAAGGCTGAACAACCAGAGCCCAACTCCGGCTTCAGCGGGTGCCGGCATCGGCATCGGCTGAGAGCTTGATAGGACTCCTGGCCGCTCTACCAGCTCTCCAGGCAATGGTGAGCCCCACCAAACTTTGATACAATGCACAACCAATAGGAGGGGTTGGGAAGGAGGGTAGAGGAAAGGTGCTCTTACTGGGGTCAGAGGTGCTCTCAGTCCTGGCTTGGCGAAATGTTACTGCCTGAATCAGAGGAAAGTCCCTGGAGAGCTTGTTAAAAATACACCCGAAGCCTTCAGCCCAGACTGCTGTGAGCCAGCATTTTGAACAAGTTCCCTCAGACTACACTGGAGCAAACTAAAGTTCCAGAACCACTGGGTGGGGGGGGGGGTGGAAAGGACATGCCCTGAAACCAAAGAACCTTAAGCTTCAGGGCCCGGCACTCGCACAGGCCCTTTCCAGTGCCCTAGCAATTTTGTTCGGTGATTTCACTTGATGAGGGAGCAGAAGGCAGGCAGAGGACAGAGCACAAGCTGACACGGGCCAACCCCTGCGCTCCCCACTCCCGGGTGGGATAGGTGTGGCCTTCCTCAGGCACTCCCGGCTGTCCTAAACTAAGGGAAGGAAACACATATGGTGAACTAATAGGGACCCCTATTAGGGCAGGAGTCTCCCCTCAGTTTACCAATGTCTTAGTGATTCACAAGAAAAAAGCATTCGAGGGGTGCCTGGGTGGCTCAGTGGGTTAAAGCCTCTGCCTTCAGCTCAGGTCATGATCCCAGGGTCCTGGGATCAAGCCCCACACCAGGCTCTCTGCTCACCAGGGAGCCTGCTTCCTCCTCTCTCTCTCTGCCTGCCTCTTTGCCTGCTTGTGATCTCTTTTTGTCAAATAAATAAAATCTTAAAAAAAAAAAAAAAGGATTTGAATCAATAACTTAGCTTCCGGAGACCCATAACTCAATTTTCTGGAGCCCGAGCTGCACACTCCCCTCCACAGCCAGGTGGGAGACAAAGGTAAAGGAAATGTAGGTAAAAATTAAATGTCCTTATAATCTGCAGCCCACTGGCAAGTAATTGAGGCAGGCAGAGTATAACGTTCCTCCAGGAAGCTCCCAACAGTCTTAATGCTCCGCTACAGGGGAAAAACCACCTTAGCCTGACAACGGCTTCGGTATCTTCCTCAGCATGTCAAAGTCCTCTTGGACACCTTCCTTTTTCCTTACCTTCCCCAACTCTCAAGTCTATAATCGGCCATTCCTCACAACCCCAGGGCAGCAGCTCTTTCTGTCCACGGGCCCTGTCCCTGCGCTCTAATAAAATCACCTTGTTGCACCAGAGCCATTTCAAGAATTCTTTCTTGGCTGCGGACTCTGGACTCCAACCTCACCAACATTCCAGAAACTACATCACACCTTTTTAAAAGAGTTCTCCAAAATTGCATTAGATCCCACAAATCCTGGATCCGCTCCTGGGTCTGCCGAGGGGAAAGCACTTCCAAGGTTTTCCGAGCAGAAGCACGAGAGTTCTAGGCACAACTTTCCAAACTAGAAGAGTCGCGGAGATTCCAGACCAAAACTGATCAAAACCACGCTTCAGGGGCGCCTGGGTGGCTCAGTGGGTTAAAGCCTCTGCCTTCGGCTCAGGTCATGATCCCAGGGTCCTGGGATCGAGCCCCACATCGAGCCCCACATCGGGCTCTCTGCTCAGCGGGGAGCCTGCTTCCTCCTCTCTCTCTGCCTGTCTACCTACTTGTGATCTCTATCTGCCAAATGAATAAATAAAAAAATCTTTAAAAAAAACAAACAAACAAACAAAAAACCACGCTTCAGAAAGACCCAGCAGCCAGGAAGTTAACAGCCTGATGAGAGGGCGTGAGAGAGATGGTGGTCGGGTCCGTGGGGTCCAAGAGAGGGCGGATACCTTGACCGCCAAGGGGGAAGCAGGAGGATAAGCTTTGTCTTAGGTGGGGGAGCAGGTGCGGGCAGGTGAAGCGGGGCTGCCGCAGCCCCATTCATTCCCATTCTGCTCCTCCCTGCTCGGTCCCTGGAAAGAGGGGAAGAAAGTTCTCCAGGAATGACTCAAGTCAAGAGAACTGAATGCGGAAACCGGGCTCCCGACCGCAAGCTCACTGGGACCCCAGCTGCCCGAGTCCCGGCTCCCTTTCCCGGCTGGACGGGGGTGGGGGGGAAGGGCTCCGGGCCAGGGGGACGCGCGGCCGGTTATGGGACGGCCGCCGCCGAGGCGGGGGTAGAGGGGGTTGTGCAATCTCGGTACCGGGGCGGGACCCGCCTGCCTCACCGCGCCCCGCCTCCCGCCTCACCGCGCGCTCCCAGTTCGGCGGCCGCCACGTGCTCCGTGAGCACCGCCCCGAAGCGCCGCAGCCGAGACACGATCCGCCCGTACAGCGCCCGGTCCTCGCGCCCGCCTCGGACGCTCCCGCAGAAGTACAGGGCCCGGCGGCCCGGCTGGCCCGGCTGGCTCGGTTCCCCGCTTTCCCGCGCTCCGGCCGGCTCCGCCATCGCGCCGCCGCCGCCGCTGCCGCCGCTCCCCTCCTCGCGCCAGGGGGCGCCCGCTCGCGGCCACGTGACCCACCCGGCCCCGGGACGCCGCTCTGGGTCCTCAGAGGCTGCTCCAGCGAGTGGCGGGCGAAGTGGGAGAAAGGCGTCAGCATCCGGACGCTGACGACGGCGCGGCTGGAAACCCACCGGCTCCCCGGCTTCGTCCCTGCGGCTGGTCGCCCACAGCCCACCCGCTCCTGCGCCCCCGACCCGGCGTCCCCCATCTCAGCTAGACGCGGGGACATCCTGTGGTGACTCCAGCTCCTCCTACTCTCCTTTTCCGCAGTCACGCTGGCTCTCCTCGAGCATGCTGGCCGTGCCCTTTGCCTTTGCTGTAGCCTGGAACCGTCTTTTCCATGTAGCCCCCTGGAGCACTCCCTCACCTCTCCCGTCTTCACAGGTCACCTTCCCTGACCATCCTGTTCAACACGGCTGCCTCCTGTTCACAGTCCTCCCTGTTGCCCTCCTCCGCCTTACCTTTTATCCTTCTTCCTGACACATTGATGAATTTTGTTGGTTGTCTTTCTATACCCAGTAGAATGTGAGTCCCCAGGAGGGCAGGAGCTTTTCTCCGTTTTGTTCACTGCTAGATCCCTAGCTTCTAGAACTGTGCTGGACACACTGGGACTAGTTATCAAATATTTGTTGAATGAATGAGTGAGTTCAGATGAGAAGTTTTATTTGCCAGCACTTTGTCATCTGCTCAACCCTATAGTAGGCTGATAGAAGCAGGATCTTCAGGGAGGTTGGTGGACACACCATTGTTCACTGGTCATAATGATGATTTCCCCCTCATTAGGTGATGGAAAAACACAAACTTAGGACAAAAAAATCAAGTGGAGCAAGAGAGTACTGGGTGGAAACTGAGTCATGAGACCCCAATGCCGTTCACTAGAAGAAAGCTCTGTCGTGCTGACTTCCAAATTCTTCCTGAATGAGAACTATAAAATACCAAGGAATGGGGTTACAGGGCTGACACAGTAATTTTTAAAGATGCAGTGACTTTTGGCTCAGGTCATGATCTCCAGGTCATGGGATCGGGCCTTGCTTGTTCGAGCACTCTCTCTCTCTCAAATAAATACATAAATCTTAAAATATAAAAATAAAAATAAATAAATAATGCAAAGGCACAGGGGGGCCTGGAGGACTCAGTTGGAAGAGCATTCGACTCTTGATCTCGGGTTGTGAGTTCGAGCCCCATGTTGGGTGTAGAGGTTACCTAAATAAATAAGTAAACCTAAAAAAAAAAAAAAAAATGCAAAGACACAAAGAGAAAGCAGAGATTTTATGCTATCTCTGTCCTCTGGTGGGCCCAGCTACAGCTACACAGACCGTGGGGCAAACATATGCAGAGCCATCGGCTAGTGCCCCAGGCACCCTCACCCCCTTGCTCACTCTTTCAAATAAATAAAAATCTTTAAGAAAAAGTAAAAAATAAAAGATTTATTTATTTATCTTGGGGGGGCGGGGGGGGCAGAGGGAGAGGAAGAGAGAGAATCTTAAGCAGGCTCGATGCCCAGCACTTGGCCTGACTTGCAGCTCCATTTTACAACCCTGAGATCATGACCTGAGCCAAAATCAAGAACCCGTAGCTTAACCGACTGGGCCACCCAGGTGCCCTACCCACAATTCCATTTAAATGATCTGCTTTCTGTTCTCCAAATAGGACTTTTCTGGACATTTCATTTAAATGGAATCATTTAGGGGTGCCTGGGTGGCTCAGTGGGTTAAGGCCTCTGCCTTCGGCTCAGGTCATGATCTCAGGGTCCTCAGATCGAGCCCTGCATCAGGCTCTCTGCTCAGCGGGGAGCCCGCTTCCCTTCCTCTCTCTCTGCCTGCCTCTCTGCCTACTTGTGATCATTGTCTGCCAAAGAAATAAATAAAATCTTTTTTAAAAAGTGGGATCATTTAACATCAATTTTCACAAAATATTATTAAATTTTACATGTACAATTGACAGAATGTATTAATATGTGTTATACTCCATAAAGCTGTTTTTTATTTTTATTTTATTTTTTAAGATTTTATTTGACAGAGAAAGTGAGAGAGGGAACACAAGCAGGGGAAGGGGCAGAGGGAGAGGGAGAAGCAGATTCCCCGCTGAGCAAACAGGCCGTTGTAGGGCTCCAGCACTCAAACCCAGGACTCTGGGATCATGACCTGAGCCAAAGGCAGACGCTTATCGACTGAGCTACCCAGGCGCCCCATAAAGCTGTTTTTTAAAAAGTAAAACTAAAGCAGGGGAAATAGGAATGTAATGTAATGAGACTCAACAATTATCCATTTATGACCAATCTAATTTCATCTATGTATCCATATCCAATTGCCTTGCTCTACTGTTTTGATACAAATTCAAGATTGAATTTTTTGGTAAATATTTTAATATGTGCCTTTAAAAGATACTCTTATTTTTATTTTATTATTTTTAAAATATTTTATTTATTTATTTGAGAGAGAGAGAGTGAGCAGGAGGGAGAGGAAGAGAGAATGCAAAGCAAACTCCACAGAGCCTGAAAAGGGGCTCCATCTCTGAATGCTGAGATCATGACCTGAGCAGAAACCAAGAGTCACACACTTAACTGACTGAGCCACCTAGCTGCCCCAAGATACACTTAAAAAAAAGAAAGTAGAGGCACCTGGTTGGCTCAATGGGTTAAGGCCTCTGTCTTCGATCCCAGGGTCTTGGGATCGAGTCCCGCCTCTGGTTCTCTGTTCGGCGGGGAGCCTGCTTCTCTCTCTCTCTGCCTACTTGTGATCTCTGTCTGTCAAATAAATAAATAAAATCTTTAAAAAAAAAAGTAACCAAAATACCATTATCCCAGCTAAAATACTTAATAAGATTTTTTAACATCAACAAGTATTCAACTATGGTTCAAATCTCCGATTGTCTTAAAAATGTTGTGTTTGTTTACAGTTCATTTGTTTAAGAGCAGAAGCCATGGGGCACCTGGGTGGCTCAGTCAATTAACTGTCTGCCTTGGGCTTGGGTCATGATCCCAGGCTCCCTTCTTGGTGGGGAATCTGCTTCTCCCTCTGCCTCTCCCCCTGCTTGTGCTCTTTCTCTCTCTGTCAAATAAAGAAAGAAATAAAAATCTTTAAAAGAAAAAAAAAAAGGAATGGAAAGAGATCTTCAGCCACCAAGAAGCTTCCATGTGCCCCATCCCAGTCACAGCCTCCTTATTTCCTCCAAAATTACACACTGCCCGTACATTTATAGTAACGACAAAAATTGGGCATAAATAAACTTATGTTTCTTTACGATTTTATGACCCAAATGTGCATTCCTAGTGCTACAGTTTAAACAGATTCATTTTTTTAGTATTTTCAAAAGTCTCTTTTAATATCCAGCTTTGAGGAAGGATTTTTTTTTGAAGCATTTGTTTTGTGTGAGACACTCAGTGGGCACTGGAGGAACTACAAAAAGGAATAAAGTCTGAATCTTTATACCGGTCTGGGGAAGGGCCAGCCTTGGCTCAAGAGTTGAGGTCAATTTAATGCCAAGCAGCGACATACGAAGTGTTGAGCAATTCAAAGAAAGCAGAAATCAGGCCTGTGGGGCATGCCTTCCTGTTTATCCTCACACTGGTACTGGTTAATACCCAGATCAAACAAACACCTGCTTCTTCACCAAGAGGGAAGAGCAGGGACCAGATTTACCCTCCCATGTTTTGTGTTCATTTATTTTTCAAATGTGATCCTGCTTTCTCAGATATGTTGTAGAGAAAGCAGGGTTGAGAATCTCTGCTCTAATATATACTGTATCCCCCTTACCTGAGTAAGTATCCCCTTTACCTGAGTACATTCTCAGTCCCCTTCCTCCCTCCCCTCTTTCCTCCTTTCCTCCCTTCCTTCCAGCAAGCTCTCTGCCCAGTGGGGCCTGAACTCACGACCTTGAGATTAAGAGTCACATGCTCTGCCCACAGAGCCAGCCAGGTAGGTGCCCTCTGACTCTTATTTCCTCACCATCCTAGTTGCTACGATGTTTTCTTAGGATGGGGATTTTGTGCAGGGAGGGAGCGTCTGCTGTTGTTCATCTGTTGTTCGTCTGCTGTTCAGTGTCAGGCATCTGCAGAAGCCAAAATGGGGAGTTCAGCCTTAGTGTTCAAGTTCAGATTTTTTTGTGAATAATTATTAATTTAAAAACTTTATAAAATTTAGCAAGTATGAGTAAAGTTTGGAGAATGGTATATCATATATCCTTGTGTCCACTACTCAGGGTTATCAGATCTTAAAATCTTGTTATATGTATTTCAGATCTATCTATACATTCTATATATCATAATATCTATTGTAAATATCTGTTATTTTATTTTATTTTTTTTAAGATTTTTATTTATTTATTTGACAGAGATCACAAGCAGGCAGAGAGGCAGGCAGAGAGAGAGGAGGAAGCAGGCTCCCCACTGAGCAGAGAGCCTGATGTGGGGCTCAATTCCAGGACCCCAGGATCACGACCTGAGCCGAAGGAAGAGGCTTTAACCCACTGAGCCACCCAGGTGCCCCGATATCTGTTATTTTAATAATAGATATATATGTATATAAAATCTATCTATAATAGATATCCATGTATCCAGCAGATATAATATCTAAAATAAATATAATAGCTAATAGATTACTTATATGTAATTGTCTATACACATATACACTAGATCAAACTGGTTGGTTATATTTGTATTTTTCAGATCTTTATATCTTTATTTTTTTCCCACTTGTTAATTACTGAGGTAATTTTTTTTGAAATCTCCCTTTGACAGTGTATTTAAATTTTTTCCTTGTAATTTTACCTATTTTCATTTTGTATTCTGAGACTGTTATTATGTGTGTACAAGTTTAGAATTTTTATATGTTCTTAGTTGTATACTTTTTGTCCTCATGATGTGATCCACTTTTCCCCCAATAAATTCTTTTAGACTTACATGTTTTTACATTTTCAGTTTTAACATTTTTGTCTCTCTTAAGCAGCTTATACCTGCATTTTAACAAACCTGATGCTCTA